CTTAGCGCCCCTTGGTGGGAATTTGTATTAGAGCGAGCTGTCAACGAATAGATTTAGTGTCAAGGATCAAACATTTAAATCTTGATTTAAAAATCGAGATGAATGTCTACGGGATCGATACAAATATCGTTGTGCTCAGAAAGCGAAGTTCCATCAGATGATGTATAAAAATTGGTACATTTTTCGAAGTTAAACAACCCAATTAGCGTTTTTGACGCACTGTGTGGAGTGACCAACCCCTTGTATGAAACATTATATGCTGGGTACGCGAGGGCACCCGATTGAAGCGAAATGGATAGGGAGAGTGGAAAATCCAAATGGCGGACTCTTCCCCCACTCATTGGGATATCCTCCTGTTGGATGACCTGTTTTTTGACCGGTGGTATGATCCCGTTGTTGGAAAGAGATTCTCATTTATCTCGTGGATGCACGTGGGCAATGTTGCCTACGGATTCATCCAAACTGTTTTTGGTCCTTCATCGAACAGTCTACCGACAGTTGTCTTGTTACAATGAGTGGTACTTCCATATCATCATTATGTATGCCAAATTGAATTTTTTGTAGTTAAGATATGGTTTTCGAATGGTTCTCAATGCATTCGTCATATAACCTTTTTGCAGCAAATCAATCTAAAAGTGTCTTGAAAATCCAATCTTCAGAACCTTTTTCATGGTAAGCCACCCAATAAAAAATTACCATAAACGAACGATAACCCAAGCAACCAGACAGATTCCAGTCTAAATAAGTTTTTGGTGGATGTAATAAAGGCAATGCTGTCATGACTAGAGATGGGCGATCCGCTCTCGAGCTGTTCTATAGACCCGATTCTCTAAAGTGAGCTGATGATCCGCGGTTCAGTTTTTAGGAACCGCAGCTCATCGGCTCACTGATATCACAAGTCTAAAGGCCGGCGCACAATAGATACGTTTTCGGGTTTTTTGACAAATAATGCATGGGCTAACTGTCAAAAAACCTGAAAACGTATCTATTGTGCGCGGGCCTTAAACCATTCAATCCATCACTCATAGCGGAGCTTTTCAAAAAAGGACTCATTATTCCACTTACGCATTGAACAGCCACCGCGTAAACCAAGACGCGCGCGTAATACAACATGTGCCTACTGATCGGCAGCACCAACGGTAAAAGCAAACTTCCAAGTGGATGTTTGGGAGAGAGAGAAATATGTACATGTGCTACACGATCTTAATTTTCTACTGGTATTATCCAATTTATGTATGTACCGGGCTCTTATTGCTGATGTTATTCCTCCAGCATATGTGCTCTCACCTCTTCTCCCATCATTCTCTGGGGGAGCGGAAGATCCACACAAAAGCAAATAACCGAAAAGCGAAATGCAGCTCTCCAGCTTATCAGCTCAGCTCCGAATCCGAATCATCGACTCGAATGATTCACTGGGAGCTGTTTAGGATGACAACTCTCGTACCCGTCCAGCTCTTCGGATCTTTTTTTCTCTCTCGATTCTTCACGATTCAGCTCCGGATCCGGATCTGGAGCTGATGCCGAGAATAGTGAGAGAAATTATGCTTGAGAATTAACATTAGAAATAAAATTTGATTATAGACTGGATTGCATAGCTTGAGAAAAGGCGTAACATCGTGTGCCACGATGTCTATAATATCATCGCGTGTGACTGCTATGTTGTTGGCACATTTTGCGCTTATTTTGGTTTACGCGATGGTTGATCAGTTGTTGTGTTAGTAGCGTTTTCCATTGAAAAGTAAAGCCATGTTGTAAGGTACGGATTTATTGGTTTAGACTACTTTTACGATTTTATGCAGTTTTAAGCACTAAAACCACTAATTAATTTTACTATCTTGAATTTGTGTCATAATTACTAAAATTCCAATGTGAGCTGAAGAGCTGTTCAAAAGAATCGACTCCCTTTAGTGAGCTGGATGGATGGGTTTTATCCACTCAGCCAGATGAGCTGCCCAACAAACAATTGCCTATTGAAGAAACGACTTCTTGCCGATTTTATTCCACTTCATGCTTAATAACACTTGTACTATTTTTAATGATAACTTCTGTTCAGGTTTTGTTCACACAAATCTGGAGAATTTATTCAACCACAACTTCGAAATATTTGGTGTTGAATGAAGTATGTCGAGAAGCTTTTATTCGACTTACTAAAGTTGTGACAGAGCTTATTCGATCAAATTTTTGATTATTCAGCGTTTATTAGACATCATTACTTCCTTAAAAAGCGATGGTATAAAGGTGTATATAGACGCTTGATTTTCATGTTAAATAATGTTTAATTGGACACTACAATTATACATTTAATTAAACGATTATTCAACTACGGGATAATTAATCCGAAAATAAGAACGGGACAGTGTGCAGGGTTGTTGTTGTTCTCTCTCGTTAGTTGATTGTTGTGTCATTACTTCTGTCGAAGCACGCGGAAAAAGACCGACGTTAAATAAAGGAAAAGAAGCACGCACATAGATCCTACAAAATTTATCACATAGACACATGTCGTTGGATGGGATTCGAACCATGACCTTCCGATCACCAGCCGCTTGCCTTGTCATCTGTTCTATCCTAGAATACATCAAATGGGCAACTTAATAAGTAATAAAAGCTTGAATCTGAAAACCTATCAGCACCTTCAGACGTAACTCTAGCTCATTCAAGGAGATGTGAGAATGATTAATTCATTCCGTGTTGTTTAACATGAGACCAACGTTACCTCTCCATCTCTCTAATTTCGATGGAAAGGATGCTATTCTTTTCAATAGAACTATGAATTGGTTGTCGTGAGTGATACGATCTATGATTACGATCTAAATTAATTTGGCGTAGAAAATAAATAAAAAAAAGGTTGAGGTTGGGATTAAACTCGCGACCTTCTACTTGGAAAGCGAAAACGGTAACCACTATCCCACCAATTTAGTTTTGTTGTTAGCCTGAAGCAGTGTTGTGGAATAATGAATGAATACGCAGTTTGTAAAACATTTACAAAGCATGAAATTAAAACATGGACGCATAGTGGTATAAGAGCTATTTTGCTGACTGTATTCACCTTTATACAGCAATATTGTAAAGCAATGCAATGGAATCTAATAATGGAGCTAGAAAACATTTATAAGACGTCTAATAAAGCATTTTATTAAATCAATTGAAAACAGTCGAATTAAAGCGACAATGCATGTGCAAATTACACTTATTCCGTTTGTTATTAGATCGAACTTCTGGCGTTGAATTGGGAAGACATTTAACACTTTTACAGCTTTTAATAAGTAAATTAATCATATCAGAGCAAACAGTGGAATAAATGTGCATCTATCGATCTCAATGAGCTTTTTTCAGCACATAATTCGACATCCTGTTTTATTCAGTATTGTACACTGTTATACAGCATTCATTCAAAATATATGCTTATTTGTGACTTTGAATTGTTTGTTGGGTGTTCCGCCCACCTGTAGTCATGACCAAGGTTTTATGAATGTTGTTTTATAGTAGCCTTGTAGTACTTCATAAAACGTAAAATCACAGACAAACAGAGGGTTACGTCTTGAATAATTTTTTCTTGAAAATATTGTACCTCAATAAACAGGACATCAGTAACGATATCCTAACAGAAAACAAGCTTGCTCCCTAAGTCGTTAACAATATTGCATGCAAGCTAAACAGAATATATAGAAACGTCAAAGTGATCCGATGCCAGTGCTGCGGTGAACAGTTCGCGCAAATGATAATATTCAAATCAATCGTTAAATGTGTGAACGATGATCCAGAATGAAATGTTATGTCTGTTTGTCTGTGATAAATTGTTATTTGGGTAGCAAAAATACAATTTGTTAAATATACTTAAATGTAAAGAAAAAGAAAAAAAACATTTTAAATCTTTTCTCTCTGCATCATTATTATGGTTTTCAAGATGGCCGCGAGAAGCCAAGTATTTTAGACCTATTGATTTTCATTAAAATGAATTAACTTTTTAAAGCTTATTTAAGAAGGTTTTACCACGGACGAAGTTTTACCTCAATTTAAAGAAAATCGTTAAATTTAGTTCGTCTCTTTGAAATTTGTTTTCTTGCGGAACGACGGAGTTCGATTCCAAATGAAGGTTTAACTGGTTAAGGATGATCCGCTCTAGTAATTTGCGTAGGCTATATACTTAACAGACTGATCGGACGATATTTTGTTGAGGAGGTGACATCTTTGTTAGGTTTTGGGATGGCCACAAAAATTGCATATTCCCACACGTTAGGGACGTACATTAACTTGATTTTTCGACATTTACCCTTGTTTAGACTAGTGATGTACCAGCCTTCGGCTGAAAATCACTTATGGCGGTAAGCTCCAACTCGGATTAACTTTTAATACCGTCCCTGTTTGGATGATGTGCAAAACATTTGCTTAAAGTTGCGTTGATTAGCACTCATGTCGACATCAAAGCAGCCAGACATTCTTGATCGGGATTTAATCCGAGGATAATACCGGTTGGAGCTTACCACCATTATGGTAGTAAGCTCTAACTCGGATTAACTTTTAATCCCGTCCCTGTTTGGAAGATCTGCAAAGTGTTTACTTAGAATCGTGTTGATTAACTCTGATGTCGACATCAAAGCAGCCGGACAGTCTTGATCAGGATTTATTCCGAGGGTAATGCCAGTTGGAGCTTACCATGGTGCACCATTAAATAAATTAAAAAAAAACATGTTTGGACTCACTTGAATTTTGCTCATGCTTTTGCTAAACGATCATGGAAAGGACAATATAAAATTTAATTTTCTTTATTTAAGCACATGGCTTACGTTATGAGTTACACAAATTCAAACCGCCAAACAACCGCGAAGCGCCGCCTCGCAACGCGTCTACGAGAAACGTAACGCCTCAACAAACGCCATGCAGAAAAAGGAACGTCAAAAAAAACTTGTTTTGATCCGTTTCTCCTTCTCCGTCCATCCTCCTGCGGCTTTCGGCATCCACAAACCAAAACGGTTGTTGGGAAACGAACCGACCACAAACAGAAGAAAAACGCGTTCGTGGCCGGTCGCAAGTTCGAGAAAAGGTTTACATTTTACTGTATAAAAAGTGCATTTTTGTGTATGATTTGTGCTGAAAAGTTGTTAATTGCGTAGTTGGTAACCTTCGGAACAAGGAAGTGATAAAGTTTCGCGGAAACCGATGTAGTACAGGGCGGAAAACAGCATGCAAAGTGTTGGAATTTTTGTGATTCCAAGAATCAAAGCCGCTCGTCGTCGTAGGTCTTCTTTTTGCTTTTGGTGGTGTTCTTGTTGCACAGGGGCGCTCTCGTTTCAAGGCAATATTGAAATGCGTGATTCCTTATTCTGATATTTATGGTTGAGATTTTGCTTACAAACGTTCAAGAACCATGTCAACCGATTCCGAAAGCCACTCGCTAACGGACAAGGCTAGCCGTAATTCGGCTACCTATTCGATATGCTCGCTGGATGAGGTCCCCGTCCGAAAGAGTGCAGGTACGTATCTAGCTTAATTTAAGATTGATTAGAAGTTATGATTGACTTTACTTTCTTGATGATTCTAAATTGATTGATGAGCGTTTCACTAGAATAATTGTATACCTTATTACGTTGTTTTTCCTTTTCCTTTTCTTGATGATTGTAGTTCAAATTATTCGGGAGCGCAGCTCAACGGATTTGCTCCAACCGGGGTCGCCTCGCAGGAAAGGAACTATGCAAATCACAAAGTTAGTGCTGAAGGATCCACCGACCAGTCCTAAGCGAACCAAGGTGACCCCGATGGTGATCAAATCGATCAAGACTTTTACCAGTTCGGCGCTTATAGCTGAGAATGGGCAAATTTTGAACGATCACAGCAACAAACAGAAGGATCAGTTGGGTCCCAGTGGAGAAGAAGAGTACAGGATTACTCCACTGCCGCAGGTAAACGCCGGTCGGCTTCTGGAAGAGTTCGAAGCGAAGAAAAACGAACGAAATCTAGCGAGTAACGAATTTCAGAACTACCTGCTGGAGAGCTTCAACAAGGAGAATAGACCGAAGGTAATGTGGTGGGGAATAGAATTTACTGTTTTGGATGAAAGTTGATTGAGTTTGGGTATTTTTAGACTGGGATTGAAATTTCCAAGGCAACAACCGTTACAACAAGTGCAGGCAGTGCTAATTCGATACAACAGAGTGGAAGTGACAAGGGCAAATCGGACAGTTCAGTCACAACCAACAGCAGTAGCAGTCAACAGACTGCAAGTTCCTCTACGAGCGCGTCAAAAAGCGAACAGAAATCTGAGGATCGAAAAGAAGCCGCGATGCCGGAAAAGACCGAAGAATTAGGTTGTACGAAACCGGCTTCAGTTAGACGATCACCCCGACCGAAAACTGTAGACAGTAAGAAGTCCATTCCGGAACCCAAGAAGGAGAAGTCGTATGATCCGCAAAAAGCCAGGGAGTTTATCAAGGAGCAACAGGCAAAACGGAAGCAAGAAAAGAAGGCTACCACTCCTCAAATGTCGGATAAAGATCTGATCAAGAAGCGCCTGGAAGATCTCAAAAAGAACACTCAGGTTTTGGTTTCCAAAAATGTTCAAAAAACCAGAAAGCGATCCTTTTCAGCGTCGGGAGCTTCCAGCCAAAAGTCCGGAAATGCACCACTGAAAGCCGTAGAAAGCAACAAGCTGCCTCCGACAAAGACACTGAAGAAGAGTTCTTCCATTTCTTCGCTCAAGACGGTAGCGGTTGTATCGACAAAATCGGATTCTGCCAAGTCTTCAGCTGGCAGCAGAGAATCTCGACGAAGGTCTTCCCTTTTGAAAGCTAATTTGTCTGAGCACATGGGAATCATGCGAAAGCCTGATGCAGTTGCTCTGGAAGAGGTTATGATGAGTCCGTTGAGAATACGGACGCCTCCCCGCCCTGTACATCATCCAGAAGTCATCACTCCAGTTAGACCAGTCGAACCCAACGAGTCGATCAGAAATGTTCAAGAGAAGAGCGTTTCTGCCATTGAACAGGAACTGAAACTGGATGTTCCAGAGGTGAAGCTCGTCCCTGATTCGACGGTTAAACATCACGAACCTCCATCTGTTGAGAAGAAGGAATTTAAACCGGTTCCACCGTGGCTTAAGCATACCCTTCTTCAACCAGATCCTTATCCCTTCATAATGGCCGTTCGTAAAAAACTGGAAGCCATTCGTAATTTGAACCAAAACCAAACCGCGCATCCCGATGAATCAGTAATTCCCAGAAAGCATGAAGAAACCGTGAAACGGTCCGAAACGGCCAACAGCCAAAAGTGCCTTGAATATTTGGAAACGCTCAAATCTGTGCCTTACGTCCACAAACCGTCCGAAAGTGACCAAAACATTTCCTCCGTTTCACTTCAACACTCCGATTCTAATACTACCTCGGAGATCAGCTCAATCAAGTCGGACTTTATTCTGCCACTGCCACCTCTGAGTAGCACCAAATTCGACAGTACACAACCCGCGACACGGGAAACTCATCACCCAAAAGTTGGACCCATTAGTCCCCTCTCGATGGATCGAATCTCCAACCTAAAAATCACTGCCAACAGCTCAACCCTAGAGCGGAGCATCAACTTCCACCGCGGAGACCACATGCCCGGGTCTGATCTCATCCCGGATCGTATCTCCTTCAACAATCGGAACGTTCATGACCTCCGCCAAAGTCAACTCAGTCTCAACACGTCCGAAAAGCAACGGGACTTCCTGCAGAAACCTCTCGAGAAATCCACCAAGGAACTTGAGTACCAAAAAATGCTGGAAGCATTCAACCGAAGCCTCACCCAGGTCATTGAAGTCAACCAGCAGCTTTACTCTGCTCTGAACAAACCTCCGGAATCCCTCCCACCGGAGCGGATAAAAATTCGAGACGGAATGACTCAAACAACTCCGGTCCCTTCGGTCGCCAACGCATCCGCCAATTCCAACTACAGCGAAGACTTTGAACGCTCCGACGATTTGAAACCGTCCAACCCTCCTCCGGATTCCACTGAATCAACCCCGGAGAAGAAATCGTCATCGGAACTTACGACATCCACTTCGACTCCGTCTTCTTCCTCAACAACGGCTCCGCAAAGCACCACCAGTCCGGATGATAGCCCGTCAGGCAAGACCCAGTCCAGCGAGCAATCGCAGCTGCTCGACTCAAGATCACTGAGCCTATCGGACAGCCACAACACGAATCCGCCGATGCCGGAAGAATATCTTCCATCGTTTGAAGAGAGTCTCCGGCAACGGCAGCAGCCATCACCACCGAAAGCAACGGAGATCAATCCGGGAAACAGTTCCACCAGCATCGAAACCCAGATCAGCGATGAAGCGCCGGATGAAGGCAAAAACGTTCTACGAGAGACGATCGAAACCGAGTCGAAGAGTTTGGAATCGATTAGCATGAAACTATCCGAGGCGAGTGAAGTTTTGAACGAACAATCACCGCCGAAGGAAGCGGAGGTTGAAATTTTGAAAGCCGCTTCGAGTTCAAGCGCTGACGATTCGGAGTTGGAAGCAATCGAGATGGAAAAGGGAACCGCCATGAACGATACCACCATGGGAAGCGACATCATGGCGGTGTTTAATCGGACGGATATGGAAGTTTCCATCATGTCCACGACGATTTCCGAGGCCAATCTGAGCTATTCTTCGATTGGATTGGTGAGTAGCCGTTAATCTGCGTCTCCGGGGTAAACTTATGCTAACCGTTCCCTTTTCTATTTCCAGTATGACCAATTGATTCAAACGGAGAAATGCAAGGGCGAACAGCTGGCTGCTCACGCACGGCTCAAAGAGAAGGCACTGCTGAATCGCACCAAAGGTCAACTGGCCTGGTTGGAACTGCAGAAGCAGCGCTACCGGGAGCGTGGCATGATGGAACAAATCAGCGTTATCAAGAAGAAACAACGGGCTATTCTGATGCGACTGGAAAAGGAGCGAGCTGATTTGAATCGGTAGGCAAATTACTCTAAGTAAAATCGCAAACTGACCTACCATTCTTCCATGTTAACAGATTAAAGAAGTCCAGTTCGGAGATGTCCTCCCGCACCAGTGCCGTTCGCTCACCGATGACACCGAAGTCGCTGGAAAAGTTGAATTCGTTCTCGTCGCACAGTTCCAATTCGATTTCACTGCGCCGGAATAGTGGCGGAAGCGGGAAAGGCGACGGCGCTGGTATCAATGCTTCGTTAGTTGTATTGGGAGACTTGTCCACTAGCACCGGTGCTGGAGGCGACAACAGATTGCATCAGCGCCGAAGAACGGTCACGACGACAACGACGACGACCATTTCCAACTCACAATTGCAGCTGACGGCGGCCATTCGCGGGATGGAGCTGGAACCTAGCGAGAGCTTGGAGGAGTAAGTACTCTCAGGATTTTATCAAATTGGGGTTTAGGTGTGGGCTTTCCCCTGATCACAACTTACCTTTTTTTCTCTCTTACAAATCGTGTCGTTTTAAGAATTTCTTTTGAACTAGAATTCCTTTAGAATGTCTCCTAATATTCCTAAAACTCTAAATAAAATATCTTTCCTCCAAAATTCCTTTAGCGCTCTCGTCAGTGTTTGTTTCTTTAAGATTTCTACATTGTAGCCATTTATCCTCAGAATTGGATATATTTCACAGACAAACAGACATAACACACACAAGTTGTTCATCGAACAAGCATTTAACGGTTAATTTAAAAGTATCTCAGTTGGTAGTACTGCCACTTGTGGCGCGCATAGTCAGTTCCCTTGTGTTTGACGTTTACACCTTCAATTTGGATATTTTCGGAATCGGGAGGCCGTATAGAAATTGGAAATCCATGGCCAACGCCATCTTGAAACCCAAGGTGGCGGCTTCCGGTTGTAGAAAAACTGGGAAATACAATCGAATACCCTTCCTATAGGAGTATTTCCCGAATCGGGATGACGTAAAAATACCGGAAATCGATGCCTGACGTCACCTTGAAATCCGGTCTCTTGAAGGGTATTTGACAGTGTTTCCGAGTTTTTCTATAATCCGGTCTCTTTACGTCACTCCGATTTTGCAAATACCCACATTTTATAATATGTACTTCATTCAAATTCCCTGTTTTCTTGTCTTCAAAAATCGCCATTTCGACTTGACATTGCATAAATTTATTAATCAAATACAAATTCTGCTGCCATCACTGGTGATTCTGAATAATGCGCACCACGCACATACACTACAACAGCACCGGATCTGTTCTTGAAGTAGAGGTTCTGCCCCTCATCAATCAGGGAGTTCATCCACGCTGGCTTGTCCCGTCTACAGGTAATGGATACACAAATTTGAGCAACGGTATTATGTGATATGAGGGGCTCGGTGGCCTTAGAGCAACCGTTTTTGCTTACTGAGCAGAACATCATGAGTCTAATCTCAGGCCCATGCACATTCAAGATTCGTCAATCGTTTTATTTGTTAATATGATCGGAGGCGAACCAGCCTAAGGCTGGAAGCCTCCTAAATAAAGCTAAATTAATTAATTAATTGTTAATATGACTACATGGTAATAACAGCAACTCGGTGACTAAAAAGGTGCTCGTCTGCCTAGTGGCAAACGTTTTTGCTTACTGAGCAGAAGACCGTGGGTTTAGTCCCAAGCTCCTTCGCGTTATATGATCGTTAGGACATCAATTCAGCTTATCGTTTACCAAAACGAACCCTGCTGCAAACCCAACCCTCTTATCCAACATCCCAGTGATTCCTCGTGGAAGTGCAGAGGTGTTCTCGGCTTCCATCGAAGCGAGTGTCATGTCAACACAATCCTTCCCATTCCTTTCTTGACCTGTGTTCGGGTGCGGCCGGCGCTGGTATTGCCTAATTTAAGATCATCAGTTTTTACACATTGAGGATGATTGCTAGTCCCAGGCATCGTCTATTGGTTCTCTGTGTAATTACAGCTGATCTGGCAATAACAGAGTAGCAACCGTGGGCGGTCAATCAAGCTCAAGCTCAAGCTCAAGCTGGCTTGTCCCGTCTACAGGAATGCTTGACTTCTAAAAAGTTAAAAAAAAATGTTATGACAGATTACTTTTTAACAAATTTCCGTTGTTTTTTTTTTAGCATCCTTCAGCGGCGCGAACAGGAGCTACAAAAACGCCGTCAACATGTACAGACCCTTCTCGAGTGGCACCAGAAGCTCGACCGCGAAGAACAGGAAATCCTGGATATCGAGCGGAATTTTCTGCAGTATAATCAGCGAAAAATAACTGAAAGTAGAGCAGCCGACGAGCAAACATTGAGTCGTATCCGAACCATCGAGAAGAGTTTGCAAACGCTGCAGCAGATTCCGGACAAGCCACATGGTTCGAAGTCATCCGATGACGATGGCGAAGAAGTACAAGCCGTTGGAGGAAGTAAACTGAATCGATTGTGGTACAGATTGACTGGGGTGAAGGAGAACCGGTATGAACCAGCACGGAGCTACACATTGACCAAGGCAATTTTGGAAAGTTTATATGAAGAAGCGAAACAGCAGGTGTTGGAAGGGTTTAGGGAGAATGAAGGCATGAGAAAGGTACTGTTGGAACAGTCGATGAGTGGATTGAACAGCAGTGCAAGTGTGGGTAAGGATGTCAGTGGGATCAGCGATCAGAGAAATACAAGCTCGGAACAGGTCCACACAACTGTGGAGTCTAGTGAAGGAAACTCGTTTCAAACGACGGTCAATTCAGCTGAGCTAGCACAAGAAAGTGCTAACCCTTCTGCCAAACTGGTGGAAGAGGAAGAAAGTAAGACCGACGAACAGATTGAAGAACGGAGCAGTCTGCTAGATGTGGAGGAAATAATTTCCCGGGTAAGCGACATAACGGAAAATATCAATGGATTTCTTTCATCAACGACCAACATCGATGAACTGCTGCAGCAGGAAGAACAGGAGAAGCAACTGTCGGATTCGGTTGAATTCCATACCATAGAAGACGAACAGGATTCTGGTAGTCAAACAAAGCCCAGTTCCGACACTTACTCGGTTACTTTTGATATACCAACGATTGAAGCAAATCGATTGCCTCTGTCCGCGGAAGACAATCAATTGATGATTGAAGACACTTCACTTCCTCCGATGATGAATGACGACTCCCTGTTGAATGATGAGTCCATTGCCGAATCGATTCCAGAGTCGGCCGAGAAGCCAACGGAAGAAATCCCCGATGACGTTTCCTTGGAGGAAGCGAGTTCCACAGCATCATCAGCAACAACGCCAACAACTGCCGAGGAAACTGAAACGGAATACAATGATGTCCTGATTGGGAAGTCCCCGGCTAAGGATTCGACTGCCTCTGAACTTGAGAAACGACTCATTACATTGAATGAAAATTTGGGGGAATTAAATGAAAGCATAGAACGGGTTTCTGCAATAAGATCTCCAGAAGTTCCCAAGTCGGAGCGGCAAAATTCATCGGAAAGCGAATCTGTCACTCCTCCAGTCATCGAGGAGGAATATTCCACCGACATGGATTTTACAGCCGAAGATCGTAGATCTTCTACGGAAAGTGCAGATGCGAAGCCTTTTCTCGATGACATCCAAGCATTAAAGGTCCCACAAAATCAGCTCACCGAAGACAGTGACGAAAGCCATAAAATCGAGATTAAAATCCGAAACATAAACGCGAATGAAAATTTTCCACATCCATCCACCGTTGGTGTTCCTTCCACTTCCGGTGTTTCCAGTTTCTCCTACCTCACACCACCGGCGCACGGTCCAAGCACTTCCACGCAAACAACCGTAATCCAAAACCGGATGCCGGACATCATCAACGAAGCGGAAGTTCTTCGCCGCCAACAGCTTCAAATCGAACAGGAAATCAAGCAACTGGAACAGCAGGTCGTATTCTTCCGGGAGATCCCCAATAAACCACCCCCGCCATACATTCCGCCTGCCAACGGAAGTCCTCTGGCCCTCATTTTTCCACCCGAGTCCCGGATCAACGATCTAATCGAAACTCGCACCAAGGAACTCTACCTCGATGAACCCGCCGCGGAGATGCTTGGCTCGGATCACGTAACCAACATCTACGAAAAGCTCATCCTGGACATGTGTAAGGAACTGTTCACAGACGTACGCCCTCCCTCGCCGGACGTCTCCTTCCGCACGGTGAGGCACGAAAAGCGACCACTTGCCTTCTACAATCCACCGGATCGTTTGGTCTGCCTGCAAAGCTACATGAAGCAGAAAATCAAACGAATCCTCAACGAAGACAGCCTGCTGCAGCAGCAACAGCATCAGCTAAACCTACATCACTGCCCCATGCCGTTCCTGATGTTTGCCGGAAGCAGTGCCAAACGCAAACGGGACCAGGTCGATGAAATTCTGGCACAGGAAATGTTCGACGAGGAAGCCCGCTGGACGAATTTTGACCGGGAGGAGATCGAGGTGAAGGAACGGATCGTTGAAGAAGTGACCAAGATGTTGGTGGAAGAAGCCGTCCGCGATATGGATCAGGTTTGGAAGGAGAAGAATGCAGGCAAGCAGGAGGAGAGCAACTTGCAGGACGGGAAGGTAGAGGAATTGAACTGAATACATACCTACAATATTGTAAGACGTATAAAACAAAAAGAAAAATCAAATGTGATGTTTGAAAGTGCATTTCAATTTTACACACCTTGAAAGGTTAGTTGTTAAGGATTGTTTTTTAAATAGCATGTTAGGGAGTCATATTTTAGTGTTTGATTGCTTACACCTATGGGCTAACTACTTAAGTATTATACATTTGAACAACGATTGACCGGTTTTATGTTTTGCTCAATTTTATACAAACATACTGATTTGATACGACAAGATCTGATTATGGTTAGTGATTTTTCATTGTTTCCTTAACCCGTACATAACTAATATGCAATAAACAGTCGAGTTAATGAAGTGTCTTAAAGAAAGGTGCATAGGTATACTGCCCATAAAAGCATAATAGTTCCAAATGGAGTTTTATCAGAAATGAGTTATCCATTAGAATCGAGTGTAAACTACCTTTACTTTATGCTGTGCACTAAAAGTCACATGTTTTGTTCAGAAAATATGGTGAAAAATAGCAAAACTTGGTTGTCCCATCGGAACAATAAATTTTCAACAGCGTTTTTCGCGGCTTGCTGTTTTTTCAGATGGGATTGATATGCTTTTATGGGCCAGTATAGTTTTTCTCTGGAAAGAACGTCAAATGATGTCTGAGAGTTTAGTGAACTGCAAAGTTTGAACATCTACCACGGGATATGATTATTTGTGAACTCACAAAACAATCCAATTAGGTGAAATTTCCTTAAAGTTCTATATACTTTCCTGGGCCTTTCTTGAACTTCGTCGAGAGCCCACAACTGCCACCGAATGCCCTAAATATACCTAAGGACCCGTTCAAATATTATGTTACGTAAAAAAGTGGATTTTTTAATACTCCCACCCCTTTGTCAGGCACTTTTCCTATCTCTAATACTCGTTGGTTAACACATTTCCAGACTACCCTCAACCCCTGTTGCGTTACGTAATATTTGAATGAGCCCTAATGTGAATCTCTAAGAAAACCGCGTAAAAGTAGAATTTAATGAAGGCCTAAGGCTTTTTGTCACTGGATTTCCGTCGGTACCGGATTTGACAGCTACTACTGGATTGTACCACATGGCAACACTACTATTGGGTTGAACTAGCATTTTCACCAAATGTACTAGAATATTTTGGTTCTATCTCTTTCACTCTACTCAAAACTGAAATGCATAAAAAATGACAAAATGATACGCACTCTTTGCACACTGTCAAAGAATCATTGTACACAAAATCAACTTTGTTCAAATCAAAACAAAAAAACTAACCCATCTGGTGGATGATGGCACAAGCTTCTAAGAAAATTCTATTACAGTGAACCACATTATTTAAATGGATTTCTTCGCCAGTAAGTCGTCTGTCACTTCGTTTGTGGTAGTGGTGTTGCCATGTGGTACACTGAAAAATTGCAATAGAAGGTTAGTCACCAAAGTTTTCGAGCCGCTCCGTCTGTCACTTCGTTTGTGCTTTGTATGGTTCTGCTCGTAAAACCAACCTAGCAAAATAGATGTGCTAAATAATCAATGTCTCCGAAAAGTTACCGGATGCACAAAAACAACCCCGATTAATACTCTATGCGATCACTGGTCAATTTCCACCTGAATTTCGACGTATATGCAGTGCTGGGAAACAATTAGCTAAACACTATTATCGAGACTCGGTTGTTAAAATCAACTTTATGCCATGTCAATTGAACAGGACAGAAGTTGTTGCACCTTCATTGAACAGGTGGCACTGAATCATTCACCGATTTTAAAAATTAGATTTTTTCTTCATTCGTAGGTAAACGTCAATGGGAAGAAGTCCAGATTGCCACTGATTTACCGGATGCCTTGAGCAGTTCCACACAGATTCGCAAATCGTTTCGGATCGACCTTCTACGATTATGATGAAACTTTGCAAAGTTGTTTGTTATTGCCCAATATGCCATTTTACATATATGGTTCCCTAGTTTTGCACACGACTAACACTTGAAAAGGGCTTATGCAAAAATGATACGCATCTATAGAAAAATATATATCTCGTGAACGATTTGTTTGATCGAGATGGTGTCTTATGCGAAGTTGCGGACAAGTATTGTGCCTTCCAAGAAAAAATATACACAGTAAAAATTATTTTTTGTTTACAAAAAAAAATCAAAATTGTAAAAAAAAACTTAAAATCACTCAAATTGCACATTTTTTTTTTAATTATTTTTTTATATTTATTTTGTAGTTTAGATAAAGTATTACCTACTGACTTTGTGCGTTTGCTGGGCAAATCATAAATAAAAAAAGTTATGAATTATTGAAAAAAAAAATTTTTTTCCAAAATACTACCCATAGTTATCGAATATCTTTGAAATAGTGTTAATATTAAAACACATTAAATTTACAACAAAAAAGCTCATAATGCTTAAATTGCCCAAAGTTGTTATTTTCGAGATACTCGTAGGTTGAAATTCACTTGTCGCATAATTTGAGCAATTTTCACTCTTTTGAGATGTTATTCGTGAGTGTTCAATCTTGAAAGTATTTTTAACAAAAAGCCCAATTAATTTCCTTAAACTTTGCTCTTCACAGTTTTTCAATCATACGCATGAGTTAAGATATAATTAATTATGAGTAAGAGACGGTATGGGAAAAGTGTATTTTTCTGTTTGGCCCCATATACGGCTAGCTAGTTTAGCTAATTAATTATATCTTAAATGAGTTAAGATATAATTAATTAGCTAAACTAGCTAGCCGTATATGGGGCCAAACAGAAAAATACAGAGTTGGTTGGAAATGCTAACATGAAACTTTAGTGTTCAATTTTCATACTGCCGTACTCTAACGGAACTATCCACCTACCCTCTTCTAAAAGATCATTCTCTAGCTAATAAATTGTCACACTAAAGCTTCATGTTAGCATTTCCAACCAACTCTGAAAATCGCTAACTTCGCGTATGAAGTAACATAAAAAACACTTTGAATGTAGAAAAATACACTTTTCCCATACCGTCTCTTACTCATAATAATTATATCTTAACTCATGCGTATGATTGAAAAACTGTGAAGAGCAAAGTTTAAGGAAATTAATTGGGCTTTTTGTTAAAAATACTTTCAAGATTGAACACTCACGAATAACATCTCAAAAGAGTGAAAATTGCTCAAATTATGCAACAAGTGAATTTTAACCTACGAGTATCTCGAAAATAACAACTTTGGGCAATTTAAGCATTATGAGCTTTTTTTTGTAAATTTAATGTGTTTTAATATTAACATTATTTCAAAGTTATTCGATAACTATTGGTAGTATTTTGGAAAATACTTATTTTTTCAATAATTCATAACTTTTTTGTTTATGATTAGCGCAGCAAATGCACAGTGTCAGTAGGTAATACTTTACCTAAACTACAAAATAAATATAAAAAAATAATTTAAAAAAAAATAAACAATTTGAGTGATTTTAATTTTTTTTTTTTTTTTTAAATTTGATTTTTTTTGTAAAAACTACAAGGGACAGCCCTATAGGGTTGTACGCAATGGTGACGTAGGACTACGTGGTCTTATATAATAAATGGTAATGTATATTTATTGAGCCAGGTCTGTAACCTGAACCATATTTTAATAGCGAATTCGTTTATTATTCAGTTCCAACCTGGATCGGGTATCAAGATTGGGTCCAAGTTTGTTTTTAAAACCTAGCTCAGGTTGAGGTTCGCACTGACAAAAAGTTCGGTTTCACACTGGGTTGGAACTGTTCCAACCCCGATAATAAACGAATTCGCTAAAATTATTTTCCTTACCTCATTTTTATATTTTCTTTTTCTGTTCTATTTACTATCGTACAGATTTGTCTGGAATCTGATGAAATATTGCTTGGAGCCAATGCCCATGATTGTGATGGGTAATTAAAATTTTTATTCAACAGATTGCGTTCAACGTATCCACATCGTATAATGGCCGCACCAAGCAGACCACTCGTAAGTCCACCGGAGGAAAGGCTCCTCTCAAACAGATGGCCACCGGAGGAGTGAAGAAGTCTCATCGCTACCGGCCAGGAACTGTCGCTCTGCGTGAAATCCGTCGTTACCAGAAATCGACCGAGCTGCTGACTGCAAGTTGCCTTTCAAGCGTCTGGTCCGTGAAATCGCCTAGGACTTCAAGACCGATCTGCGCTTCCAGAGCTCGGCCGTTAATGGCCCTACAGGAATCCAGTGAAATGGATAACTCATGCCTATGGAATTCATAAGTATATTATGGAATCAAAATTGTCCAGGTTCATAAGTCATGTCTTATGGAATTCTTACGATTTTTTGCCCAGTGTAAACATAAACTGTGTGGAGTCCATCCGGATAGAAAAATAATGGATATTATCACTATCCACTTGTTTTTCTATCCTGAAAACGGAGTCTATGCGGATAGTTTTACATCGGATATTATCCGTTTTAAAATTATCCGGATTGGGATAGCGATAATATCCAATGATATATTGGATGATGGATAAGGATAATTTGGATGCTTGCAGAGAACTTGATATAAGTTCACCGAATTTCAGAGAGATTTAAAGTGCTTTGAAGAGATTTAAAGTGCTTTGAGCGAACCATGCAGCAGACTTTGGTTGAGATCAAAATGCTTCAGCGGTGTTCATCTGAAATCTTCAAATAAGATCGTGGATATTCTGAGAACGTGTTGGAATCTTACCAGGTGTTCGGAGAGTAGCCGAAACTTTATAACAATTCTAGGACCTTTGGGAGATTTAATCAAGATTCAGAGAACTTCAAAGACATTCTGGGAACTTATTGTTCTGAAGTTATCGAAGTATATTATTCACTATCATTACAGCCCGATGCAGATTTATCTTTCAAGTAGATGGTACAAAAGTATGTTTTTGCTACACTTGTATCTATGCAACCCCTCCATTTCAAATACCTACTTGTGTTTCTCAAAATAAAGACGGGAATTGTCAAGCTATTTCGAGCGTTGCGCGAAAGCAGTACCTATACACAGAAACAAAATCCATTGGCAAAAATACTATATTGATGGTTTAAATTAAATACTCCCACCAATAGATTTGTGCAGAAACGAAATTCATTTAATTTTACTATTGTTTCTATCAAAACTACTATGCCGTTTGAGTAAGCATAGTAGTTTTGACAGAATGGTAGTAAATTTGATTATATTTTTAGTCAACTATACTGAAATCATGGTAGATTTAACGGCATTGAGCGTAGTTATACTGAAAATAAGTGTTTTCTGCAAAATAGTATTCCTAACTATGGTCTTTGTTTCAGTGTAGAATTGAATCACAGTTCTAACCATGGATTTCTTTCCTCATTCATTCACACTAAACAACATTTTAACGTTTTTTTTCTGTTTGCTTACCACTAAAGTTTATACATTTTTCGTTTCTGATACTTTCCATGACTTTAAATTAAACTTTAACTTTGTTTATTTCCTCTCGTTGTCTCTCTGTGTTTGCTCTATCGACCGCGTGCGCTGTATAGACTGTTTGCTTGATCATTCGAGCCACCCACAACCGACGGCCTCCGCTCCTCCAA